CCAGAAGGTGAAGGATGAAGGATGGAGCAAGGCTGGCAGTGCCCAGCTGGAGAACCAGCCCTGCCTGCCCCCAGCACAGCTCCCGGGGGAGCAGCTCCACAACAGCCTCACAGGGCAGGGATGAGGCAGCACCAACGGCAGCACCTTCCCCACCCACTGCACAGAAAACACCTCAGAGCCCCCCTCATCCCTGTGATCCCGGCAGGGCCTTCCCAGCTGGCGTTTCTTGGCCAGGGCTGTTTTTCCAGGAGACCCCCTGAGCTCCTTGGCGTCCCTCAGTGGTACCCCAGTGCCGTGGGCTGCAGGCACAGATTGCAAACCCATTCCAGGGCTGAGCTCAGTCCCAGCTTCCAGAGGCTCTCAGGAGCCACGAGCCCAGGGCATTGACACAAAGTGCCATTTAGCTCTCACCTCGGGCCCTCCTGCTGGAGCTTGTTGGTGAGCAGCCACCAGTGACAAATCAATGTCCCTGTTGTTTCCTGGCATTCTTCCTCTCCTCTGCAGGCTTTGCAGAACAGCAATTAACACGTTCTTTCTTTACAGTGTGACTTCTCTTTATCCAACTCACTTCACCCCAAAATCTTCTTCCTCCTTCCAAGTGCTTGGCTTGTATAACTTCCCTCTCACTCAACTTTCTACAAGTTCTGTTCATATCCCTTCCTCTCCTCTTGTGGGCTGAACAGAATTGGTAAACAACTCTCATATTATGGATGTCACATCTATTTTCCATCCAGCTTCATTTTATCTTTCTTGAGTGGAATGTAATAGAGGACACATAATTTACAAAACTGTTCCCCTCCTGACCCATTGCACTTGCTCAATTCCACAAAGAATGAACAGCAATGCAAAATTTATACTTCAGCCAACTACAGACTTTGTTTGAGGCTATTTTCTGTAAGACTGTTTTCATGTTATATTTTAAGAAATAGATCTTTTAACTCACTCATTTCAAAATGTGCTGATTTCAGTAAAGAAAAATGTCTTTATCTTTCCAGTCTGATTCCTCTGAACACTGGCATGTGTTTTCATCCAGCACTGCCCATCCAAGGACAGCCTGCAGCCCCATCACCCCCACAGCACAATCCAAACACAGTTACACCATTTATCTGTATCCAAGCACAAACAGGTGTTGCCTGCTCTTCACAGAAACACAAATATCCACTGCCTTATTACTGTAAGAAAACCATTTCCCAGTTCTGTACCCAGCCACTGCCATAAGCAGTAACACTTTGCCATCCACAATTCAGGACAAATGATTCCCAAGATATCCTGTACTGAATTACCCAGCTACAGCCTGGGCTGTACGTGTCCTCTCCCTCCTGCTAGCACAGACCTTACCACATGCCATAACAGATGTCAAAGGAATCTGAAATGCTCACAGATTTTTCTATTTACCCAAACAAGGGAAGCTTCAGTTTTCTAGACAAAGTCCTCCACACTCCCACTGACAGCAGCAGGCTGGCTCTGTGACCACATGCAATGTCTCTGGGAACATTGAGTGGGGATTAGCACTTTCCAATATCTCTCTGAACATAAACTGTAGGGGCATAAACAAATTCATGCTCTGCTGATACACAGCCCTAAGCAGTGCAGCACCTGTGCCAGCAGCTCTGCTTTACAAGGAGCTCATTGCTCTGATTGTGTGGATATGATCCTCCTTGGAAAGATGGGAGCAATTTTCTGCCTATGAAATGGTCTCTGTGCAGCAATTGTGAGCAGCAATGTTTGGGAAGAGCCAGGCCCCAGATGCCAGCCCACACCTGGCTCCCCAGAACAGCCCCAGCACAGCTCCTTACCTCAAAGCAGAAGTCTTGTCCCAGGATGCTGCTGTGGACTGGCTTGATGACCACCTCCTCCTCCATGCTGAGATCCAGAGCCTCAACAGCACTACTGGGACTGAGCAGGGACTCGTGGGAGCGCGACTCCTTCAGCCTCGGCATTAGATGGGATCTGCAGCAACACAGCACGGTCAGAGGATGCTCCCTTCCCAGAGAAACCTGCCAGCAACCTCTGCTACAACAACTGCACAATATTCCTGGGAATGTTCTGCCATCACATAACCGAGGGCCCTGAAGAACAAGGCTTGCTACACTGTCCCATTTGTAATTTCTACTCTAAAGGTTCTGTAGCAGGCAGTATGAGCAGTAAAACAATTTTTCCCAACTCAAATGCAGTCAGGAGTCAATTCTTTAGAGGTTTGCACACTATGGGGTCTCTGAACAACTGAATCAAACTCTAAACAGCCACCACACCTGCTGAGGGAGACTTCCCAGGTATGGGGTGCTCCTAAACGAGGCATCCCAGGTGTGAGGTGTTCCTAAATGAACCTTCCCAGGTGTGGGGTGTTCCTAAACGAGGCATCCCAGGTGTGGGGTGCTCCTAAATGAGGTTTCCCAGGTGTGGGGTGTTCCTAAACGAGGTATCCCAGGTGGGGTGGAGCAGTGGGGATGCACTGGAGGCCAGCTGGCTGCAGCACCTGCTGCTCCCTCAGCAGCACCACCAGGTCTCCAGCACAGGTGCTGAGCTCTGGTGGTGCCAGAATCTCACCACAACAGCCACATCTGGATGTGCACTCCGTCACCAACAGCCCTTGGGCTCTTGAGCTCTCTCTGATTGTCACACACACCCCTGGGATGGGGACAGGGTGGAAAATAAGGCTGTGAGAGCCCTATTGATTGATCTAAATGCTCTGGAGTCCCACTGGCAGCATTTAGCAGCAGGGAGCCCACAGACAGCGAGCAGAGCACCATTTTTGAGACAGCCAATACAATCAATGGTGCTGTAACTCTTAAAGCAAAACCAGAGAGCTCAAGGGGAAGAAAAAAAAAAAAAAAAGAAAGATAGTTAAGTACTCCCAGGGAAAACACAGCAAACCCATGAAGTGGCAAGGGGAAAAATAACTTGAGTGCAAAGGGAGCCTTCTCTATAGCCTGCACCACATCAGATGTTCCTAGGCCAGAGCTCTGATCCTGGTAACTCTGACCTTTAAAACCTCTGGCAAGCACTTGGGGGCTCCCAAAGAGACCAAATGTCCCTGCCACAAAGGGGCTGTGACGCCTCCTCCAAAGGCACGGAAGGACAGCAATAAGGGCAGTTTGTGATAATCTCAGCATAGTCCTTCTAGAGTCAAACAACAATGCTCCCAGTATGCTCCCAGCCTGCTCTGGTGTGTGTGCTGGGTTCTGTTGTTCTCCAGAATGAAGCTGACCAAAACAGAGAGAAATGTCAACAGTGCATGCAAAATTCATCGCTTGCAGTGAATCACACCCCAGGCTGGATCCAGAAAACAGCCCAAGGAGATTCTCAGATGAAGGCAGCAGCAGCAGCAGATAAACAGGTGCTTCTCTAGATGTGCCATTAAGATTCAGGCCACGCATAAGCCCCAGGTGATAACAGAACTGCCTGTGGCTGCTCCATGGACAGCTCTGAGTGCCAGGGCCACCTCCTCCCCAGGGACACCCAGCCTGGGACACCCAGGGTGCTCCCTGCACCCACCACAGGCAGCAGCAGCTGCGGGACACCAGTAAAGCACCTGCACAGCAGCCACCAGCACAGGCTCTCTGGGGGGACACCTGCAGCCCCAGAGCTGAAGGCCCAGCTGGGGCTGGCACAGTCCTGGCTGCACCACAAGCCCCAAGGCTCCCCATGCCATCCATCAGCCATTCTCTCAGCTGCCCACTCACCCCACATCTCTGTGGCGAGTAAATTGATCTTTAGGAACCCAGCACAGTCATTTCCCAGTACTTTGTGGCAATTTTACACTATCTTCAGAGAAAAGGGTCCCTATCCTTTTCCTCTGAATGATACTGTAAATGAACTCTAATACAGGCAGACAGATCAAGTTACCTCTGGATGCTGAGTGCAAAACTAATATCTAGGAGCTCAAGAATTGACAGTACAGACTTCTCACCCAGCCCAGATAAGCCTAGAATCAAGGCATTTCTGGTAAATCTTATTTCCATATTTTACAGATGAAATTAGAAAAGGTAAATAACCAAGTTGAGACTTGCATTCTTGTGTACACAAATATAAATACTGATAAAATAAACCACAACTCAGTACATCACTGAGTTGCATTGCCTCATGCTGGCCTAAGAATTTTGTAAAAAATGAAAACAAAACAAGTCTACTTTTCATTTAAAACGACTGCAGCTGGATGGCCCCGGGTGGGAGTGCAGATGTGCTATCTGAAGGATTACCAAGGGGGAGTTTCTCAGGACACACTACGCTCCCACCAGATTCAGCAAATGTGTGTTTATATCCCTCCACACTCTGCCAAATGCCTCTGGGAATCCTAAAACGAAGGGGACATGTTCAGGGAGTTATTTGTCAGGCCCTTGCCTCAGCAGGACCTGCTCCCACGGGTCTGTCTGTCCCTCCTGGCCCCTGGGATCCAGCCCAGGTCAGCAGCAGACACGTTTCTCAGCAGATGCTGCTCCGTGCAGGGCAGTGCTGCAGGTCTCAAACCAGCCCTAAAACCCAGCATCTGTCTGTGCACCAAGGGCCAAGTGGGGAGATGGCATTAATTAGAGCTGCTGGAAATGGCAGCAGCAGGGATGAGGATGTCTCTGCCAGAGCAGGGCAGGATGAGCAGAGTCCCCCCCCAGGGCTCTGTCCCATCTCTGTCCCAGCCCTGCCTTCAAAGGGCACACAGTCCTTTCACTTTACTCCCTGTTCCAGGGCAGAGAGCACTCGTGTCCCTCGGGGACATGGCATTGTGGCACGAGCCCATTTACAGGAAAACGTTTGCCAGTGCCCCTTGCTGCTCCCACAGAGTTCCCCTCGTAGCAGCAGTGAGAGAAAGGCCACAAGCTGCTGCACCTGAGAGCAGCACCCACAGCACCAGGGACACCTGAGTGCCTGCAGACCTGTCCTGGCCACCAGCCCCCCAAACAGGCAAACACACCTGAACACCATGTGCTGACAGTGAACACAGGCCTCCAGGGTGCCAGAGGGACCTTGCTCACATCCATCCCCCTGCCATCCCTGTGCCTGTGGGGCTGTCCTATCTCCTGCTCCAGTAACTCACGCTGTACTCCAGGTCCTGTCCTGGTTTACGTCAGCTGATCCAATTCCAATCCTACACCTTTGTTTTAATAGCTGGGAAGGGCCAGCTGCCCAGAGCCATCTCACAACAGGAACCCTCTTTCCAAACAGCACATTCAGTTCTTTTTGCCCAGGGCCTTTTTTAAATCCCTTTTTACTTGCCTAAAGTTCAGTTGAAATGAAGGGGGGAGGAAAAAATCTCATAAAAGACCACATTAGTTCTAAAGAGAAATAACATTACTGCTACCGGCACTGACCTGGCGAGTCCTGCAGAGCAGCACCAGTCTCTGGTTATTAAAGAAAGAGCTCTGCTGCCCGACAGCAATCAGAGAGGATTGTTGTGCTAAATAATAAAAGTCATAAAACATTACCGTGTGAAGGGATGCATCCCCTCTGCCTGTGCCCTCCACAGCCACCTGAGTGTCACCAAATCCAACCAGGACCATGGGGACTGCAGGGAAGTCTTGCAAAAACAAGGATGGAGACGCAATCCATCCTCTCCTCACCCAACTCCAGGGCTGGGTTTTGAGCAATGGAGGCAGCAAACAGTGCTGCAAAGAGGCAACTCTGTCAGTCCTCATTTCAGAGCCTCACCTGCCTGAAACCACCCGGCCGCTGCTCCTGTGGTTTTATGATGAAAATGTTCCTGATTATTTCTGAGAGACAGAAACAAACAGAGATCCTGGTGGGTGGCTGCACAGGGATGGAGCAGACACAAAACTTAACACTGAAACAAAGTGAGGGGGAAATGAAGAACCTTTCTTCAATCTCCTACTGCTCTGCTCTGAGAACATGAGCAGATTGGGGATTGTGAAGGAAGTCCAGGCCCTCAGCTGAAGAAGCCCCATTGGCACCAGCTGCAGAGCTGGCAGCGCATGCCTCCCCAGTGTCAGAAGGATTTGATCTCCCAAATTACATTTGACTCTGTGGCACTTCTCCTGGCCAGCAAAGATTCCCTGAGTGCAGCTTTTTGAGCTGCCGGTTCTTTTGTGTGCCCAGCTGGGTGCAGGTTCTCTAGGGCAGCCCTGGCCCCCTCCCCTGCACTCACCCACTGCAGGGGTCTCTGTGCCCAAGCACAGCAGAACAGCCAGGCAGATCCACACCCAGCACAGACAGAAGCTAAATCTGTCTCCAGCCCGGGGATTAGGGGTTTGTTATGACTGAGAACAAAGTGCACAACTCCAGTAAATTGATTTGCAACATCAGATGGGAGAAGGATTTTAGCAGTCACAGATGGGGGTAAATCACCCGCCATGCCCTGCCTGTGCCACTGCCCCTCCTGAGCCTCTCTCTGCCGGCTCACTGTGGCACTGTGCCCTGCAGGGCCCACCCTGCTCTGGTTCGGTTCCCCCTGTCCTGCACAGCAGCTCTGCCCTCCCCAGGGCCCAGCAGCGCTTTGTGACCCCCCCGCCGGGGCAGCTTCCCACTGACCTCCCAGCGCTGCCGCGAGTTCCCATCCCTTCCTCCCCCGTGCCTCATCCTGCTTCAATGTAACAAACAAATATGAAAGCGATGTTATGGGAATAACCACCACCAACAGCACACAAGAGAACTCGCAGGCTTCCAGAAGATGAAGAATGTTTTTTTTCCTGCAGAAGAGGACGTGGGGATGGAGTCTCAGCATGCAGCAGCACACCCTTCTCCATGTTCTGCTGTCCTGAACTTTCTCCTGGCGTTCCCAGAACCCCAGCTGCTGATCCCTGCCTGGGAAACTCTGCTCAGCACACTCAGGATGGGAACCGGGCGTTACAGGTTGCCCTCGCTAATGCAACACCTTCCCTGAGCAACACAAAGGACATGTAATTAAACTTATTAATGCCTGCCCTTGTTTTCAGACTGTTCTCAGTTTCAACTGGCAGCAGGATTAATTACATTCAGAAGGACTCTGTCAGCTCGTACCAGAT